CTCTACCACTTGAGCCACAGCACCACTTCCGGCTTTTTTCTGTTTGCTTATGTGATGCTGAGGAATCGAACCCAGGGCCTCATGCATGCAAGGCAAGCACTCTACCACTGAGCCACCTTCCCAGCCCCTACTTCTGGCTTTTTGGTGGTTCATTGGAGATAAGAATCTCATAGACTTTCTTGTCTGGGCTGCCTTCAAACCACGATCCTCAGATCTCAGCATCCTGAGTAGCTAGGATTACAAGCGTGAGCCAGAAAGAGAAATGAGAGTTTTCCTGGCCATATCCCACCCTGGAATGAAAAAGTACAAAATGAGAAGAGGGAGAAATCTCCAGAAACATTGACCTTGACCACATAAGCAGGAAGTGGAAGAAACCTCTGGGCTCAACTTCAGAGAAATGCAATTTGTCATCAGCCCAGAAAAAAGAGACCTTCTCTTCAAAGACCACCGCAGGCCCTTCCTGGGGTTGTCCCCCTTCTGTAGAACTGAGTCATAACCCCCAACCAATGTGGCCCAGGAGGCGAGGGTCATTCTTTTTTTGGCAAGTACTGGGGCTGGAACTAAGGACCTGGGTGCTGTCCCTGAAATTTTGTGTTCAAGGCTACTGCTCTACCACCCAAGCCACAGCTCCACTTCTGGCTTTGTGGTGGTGAATTAGGGATAAAGGTCTCATGGACTCTCCTGCCTTGTCTGGCTTCAATTGCGATCCTCCGATCTCAGTCTTCTGAGAAGCTAGGATGACAGGCATGGGACACTGGCACCCAGCTTCAAGCCACTTTTAGCATTCATGTCATTTCATTTTTACCCTCCCAGTGAGTCATGTGCAGGACCCTTATTCATGAATGAGGTAACAGGCTCAGAGGTGACTTAACTAGTAAATAGCAGAGATGAAACCAGAATGCAAGTCTGATTATTCCTTAACGTCCATAGATTGATTGGCTTCCTTGACAAGGGCAGAGGCAAGAGGCTAGGTAGCACTACTTATGGGTCCTAGAAGCAGATGCGGTCTCTCCTGCCAGCCTATACCAGAGTCATAGCCATTAAGCCACACCCCTTGGGGGCACACTGAAACTGGGGATGTCCAATGAAGGACTGAAGTCAGGGGGCGGGGCTAGCTCCAGTTCTGCCCCCCCCCCCAACCAGGATCCCTACCCCCAGTTCAGAGCATGAGGTGCCTGGTGCCCAGAGGCAGCTACCAGCGGTGAGTGGTCGCTTCTCCCCTTTGCACCCCCTCTTCCAGTCTACTCCCTATCAACCTGAACCCCCATCTCTGAGATATCTAAATGGTAACCCTTTCCCGGTACAGGGATCCTTAGAATGGAGGGTCTGTGCTTGCAGGGCGCCCAGGCCGGGTCTCTTTCTCTGGGTAACCAACTTTTTCTTAAAAGCCACTGTGGTGGTTTTGATGTGTGTTAAACTGTGCCTTGCTGGCTTCTGTCTTTCTTCTAGCCTTCAATTTTTAGCTTACAAATTTTTTTTTTCTTAATTATCCTAGTCTGTGTGTGTGTGTGTGTGTGTGTGTACACCACAATAACACTTCTGGCCTTTTCTGAGGAGTTTGTTGGAGAAAAGAGTCTCATGGCCTTTCCTGCCCCAGCTGGCTTCAAATTGCCATCCTTGGATCTCAGCCTCCAGAGTAGCTAGGATTATAGGCATGTGCCACCAGCCACCAGCTCTCCTAGCTTTTTGGTTCAAGGTTGGTGCTCTATCACTGAAGCCATAGTTCTCCCGTTAAGTTTTTGGTGGTTGACGGGAGATAATAAGAGTCTCGTGCAGAAGTGGTCAAAGTGGTAGAGCACCAACCTTGAGCGAAAGAGCTGAGGGATAAACCGGGTGCTGGTGGTTCACGCCTATAATCCTAGCTTCTGAGGATCACGGTTCAAAGCCAGCCCAGGCAGGAAAGTCCGTGAGACTCTTAACTTCAATAAACCACTAGAAAACCAGAAGTAGCGCTATAGCTCAAACGGTAGAGCACTCGCCTTGAGCTGAAGCGCAGGGACAGCACTGAAGCCCAGAGTTCAAACCCCAAGACCACCACCAACAACAACAAAAAGCTGAAGGATAGTGCCCAGGCCCCTACTTCAAGCCCTATAACCAACAGCAACAACAACAAAAATCTAACAGGCTTTCTTGCTGGGGCTGGCTTTTGAACCTTGATCCTCAGAACTTTGTCTCCCGAGTAGTTAGGATTACAATAGGTGTGAACCATAGCTCTCATCCTAATCTTAAGAGGAAGTATCTTCTTTGTTTTTATTTTTTGTTTTTGTTTTTTTTGTCGGTTGTGGGGCTTGAACTCTAGGCCTGGGCACTGTCCCTGAGCCTCTTCAGATCAAGGCTAGCACTCTACCACTTGAGCCATAGCACCACTTCCAGCCTTTTCTGTTTATGTGGTGTTGAGGAATCAAACCCAGGGCCTCATGCATGCGAAGCAAGCGCTCTACCACTGAGCCACCTTCCCAACCCCGGAAGTCTCTTCTTTTACTTATTTTTTAAATTTAATTTTTAATTTTTTTTGGGGGTCCCGTCGTGGGGCCTGAACTCTGGGTCTGGGCACTGTCCTTCAGCTCTTCAGCTTAAGGCTAGCGCTCTACCACTTGAGCAACAGCATCACTTCTGGATTTTTTCTTTTTGCTTATGTGTGGTGCTGAGGAATTGAACCCAGGGGCCTCATGCATGCAAGGCAAGCGCTCTACCACTAAGCCACCTTCCCAGCCCCAAGTCTCTTCTTTTAGAACAGCTTTCTTTCCCTCTCTTCCCTTCCCCCTGGCATCAAAACTTTCTCCACTCTTGAGTCAGAAGCTGTCAATTCCAAACCTGCTCTTTTAATTTCTAGATGGGAGTCTCTGGTCTCTTCCAGTTCCTTCTGAGAATGTGTTCTAGAAGCTTAACCCTCAGGGAGATAATTGAGCAGCTTCTCTGACCCTAAAGTTTAGGGCTCGCCTTGTGGCAGCCTGATCTGGCCATCATGATGTCCACTGTGGCTTCCAGGCCCAGGGCTTCCATGTGACGGGCCTGTTGGGGGAGAAGCCATAGCTTTCTAAGCTCCTCCGGCAGTTGTGACTGGCTTTATCCCTAAGGATCTGGCCTGACTGGGTTTTGTGCTCATCCCATTGTGTGCCTGCTCAGAGGTTCTTCTCCACCAAAGGGCCTAGAGGAAGCCCAGCGCTGGTGGCTCCCTCCTGTAATCTGAGCTACTCAGGGAGCTGAGATCCCGAGGATTGCAGGCTGGGGAAGGAAAGTGTGAGATTCTTCAATGAACCACCAGAAAAGCTTGGAAGTATAGGTGTGGCTCAAGTAGTAGAACATCAGCCTTGAGTAAAAAAGCTAAGGGACAGTGACCAGGCCCTGAGTTCAAGCCCCAGTATCTCAGCAAAACACACACCAGAGAAAGAGACGGACAGGGAGAGAGACAGAGAGAGAGACAGACAGACAGACAGACAGACAGAGACAGACACAGAGACAGAGAAAGGCCTTTAGAGGCTGAAGTGTCTGGGGCTGCTTTTCCTTTAAGGCGCTTGGCCATCTATCTGATATTCATGTTTGTTGCCTGGCTTTTGCTCTAAGTCCTAATTTTAATCTCCCCCCCCCCACATTCCCCGCGCCCCAGGGGTTCTGGGGCTTGAACTCAGGGCCCTATCTCTGAGCTTCTTTTCTCAAGGCTAGAGCTCTACCACTTGAGTTACAACTCCACTTCCATCTTTATTGACAATTTATTGAAGTTAGGAGTCTCGGGGACTTGCCTGCCTGGGCTGGCTTTGAACTGAAATCCTCAGATCTGTCTCCTGAGTAGCTAGAATTACATGAATGAGCCACCAGTGCCCAGCAATGAATTTGACCTACTATCCTAACACCCTCCCCCCCCAATCACTGGCCCCTATAATGACTGTGGCTTCATTTTTTTGGCTTCATTCAGGACTGAGGGTGACCCACTGAGGAACAGCAACTCACTCTTTCTCCTTTCCCCTCCACAGGCTTGAGACAAATGCAGCTCTTCCCTCCCCTTTCTGCCAGGGGCCCCACAGCACAGCCTTTTTCTCAGAGCCCCTAAGATTGGTATCCAATCAAGGCATGATGGCTCTACCCCCTCCAAGACTGCTCAGCCCCTACGGCTCTGATCGGTTGGTCTCTTTGGCAGCCCAGCTGCGGCCAGCACTATGTGACACCCTCATCATTGTCGGGGGCCACGAATTCCCCGCTCACAGCCTGGTGCTGGCAGGTGTTAGCCAGCAGCTGGGCCGAAGGGGCCGCTGGGCCCTGGCAGAAGGCATCCGCCCTTCCACCTTTGCCCAGCTTTTGAACTTTGTCTATGGGGAGAGTGTAGAGCTGCAGCCCGGGGAGCTGGGGCTCCTTGAGGATGCAGCCAGGGCTTTGGGGGTGCAGGCTCTGGAAGAAGCATGCAGGAGGGCTCGAAGGGACCCAGCTGAAGATGTGCAGGAGGCAGGACTGAAGAAAGGAGGACAAGGGAGCCTTGGCAAGGAGCAGAAGCCAGAGGATTTTAGACCTGGTGGGAGAGAAGAAAAGATATTACACAAGCCACCAAGAGAGCACCAGGAGGTGGCAGGAATGACACAGGATGGCTGGGGAGAGTTGAGACCAAAGGGGAAACTGAGCCAGGCCTCTGTTGGCCAAGGGGAAGCAGTTGGGAGGCAAGCAGTGGTCATGCAGGTGACAGAGAGTCCAGAAGGCTCTGAGGAGAAGGTGCGGGAGTTCCCTGGCTCTCTTCCCCAGCCAAGTTCTCTCCAGAGCCACGGCACGCCCAGGCCCTGGTGGGTAGAAACTCCTTGGTTGGGGGAGGGCCAGGCTGCTGTGTGGAGCATCCTGATGTGGCCCCCCAGATGTGGCGCTCCCTTCTCTCCCAGCACCTCTGGCACTGGCATCTGGCAGGCCTGGCTTCCAGACCAGAGGTGAGTAAAAGGACTAATGGAAAATGTCGAGGCTGGAAAAAATGGTGTAGGAGAGGCAGCAGTGGCAGGTTGGGAAGGCCACCTAGCTGCAATTACCGAGCTAGGGGGATGAGACAAGAAGACTCCAACCCCTTTCTCAGGAAGGGGCCAGACTTGGCCAGGCTGTAATTTTTTCTCTCCAGGATCCCGCTGACATTGATCAGCCCCAAGGGGCTCTGCAGTAAGAATCAGGTGGGCTCCTCCAATCCCACCCCAGGTAAATCCCTCATTGGCTTGCACTGAGGGTCTCTCCCCCAGGGCTGGGCTTCAGGAAGGAGTCCAGCCTTAGCAGGGTCCCCTCTGCTCCCTCCAGGTTCCCTTCCCCAGGGCCCCATGGAGATGGGAGAGTCTGGATGGGGGTATGGAGGTGAGCAGGGTGAGTGTACTTGGCCTGAGCTCCACTGTAACTTCTCATTTGTGTCTGGTTGTTCCACTGATTGGGCCTCTGAAACTCCTGTGCACACAGGTGTGCTGGCAACCTGTGTGGGTCATGTGGGCACCTCAGGCCGCCTATCTCGGCGGCCTCCTACAGCCGGGTCTCGACCCTATTCCTGCTCCGTTTGTGGGAAGAGATTTTCTCTCAAGCATCAGATGGAGACCCACTACCGGGTCCACACAGGTATGGGCGGCCCTGCCCAGTGGTCAACTTATGCTTTTAATTTGCAACTCAGATATGCCCACTTCTGCGTTCCCCCTCTGGGTCAGCTTCCTTTTTCCCTTCAATGGCTGTTTCCCCTCCGCCTGCCCTAGGAGAGAAGCCTTTCTCCTGTAGCCTCTGTCCTCAGCGATCCCGGGATTTCTCTGCCATGACCAAGCACCTGCGGACGCACGGGGCCGCACCCTACCGCTGCCCGCTCTGCGGGGCCGGCTGCCCCAGCCTGGCCTCCATGCAGGCGCACATGCGGGGCCACTCGCCCAGCCAACTCCCGCCGGGATGGACCATCCGCTCCACTTTCCTCTACTCCTCCTCGTCCTCGAAGCCGACACGCGCCTCGTCCTCTCCCGGGAGTTCCTCCTGATCGGACGGGGTTGGGTATGAGCCTGGCTTTGGGCTGCAGCTAGACTGAAAGAATGAAAAAGGGAGGGTGGTGGTGGGCTGGGCTCTCCGAGCTGGCCCCGATGCTAAGACGACCTAGCAAATCGGGCTGCACGGATGCCCGCAGGGCTGGCACCCCCTCCCAGCAGCACCCCCTCCCCGGAAGACCCACGTGTTGCCCAAGCCAGGGTACCAAAGAAGCCTCTGGGTTCGCAAACGTGAGGAGGATGAACAGTCAGAGGACTGTCAATGGCATTGCCATAATAAAGTTTCCAGCGCCCGCTCTCTGGGTCTGGACCAGAAAGCGGAGTCCAGGCTTGAGTTTGCGCTGGGGGCGGGGGGGGGGCGGGGAAGGGAGAGGAAGCCCAGCCTCACCCTTGGTCCTGCAGCGGCCCCTGGTGGTTTGCATTAGCTAACCAGCGGGACAGAAACGCCCTCTCCCCCCGCCCCCCTGCCCCAGAAGCCGCTGGCCTCGGCGGCCCTGGGGTCGCGGGTCACTAAGACCCCCCTCCCCTCTCCATCCCTCCCTCCGGCACAGGCCTCGGGCACAGCCGCGCTCGGCGGGCGGACGCCGACCAGGGCGCGCCCAGCCCCGGGACTGGAAAAGAGCGCATGCTCCGGGCCGGCTCTCAGGTTCCCGCCCCCTCTTCCTAGCGCACTGGAGCAGCCGCCAGATTTCCCCCCTCCCGAGCCTCCCCTCCGCGCTGGGGAGGGGCGGGGCGGGGCAGGGCAGAGCAGGCCTCTGAAGTGCTGCCGCCCGAGCGGGGGAGAACGCGGGGGCTAACGCGGCGGCACTACCGCCCCCTCCTCCCGCCGCGCACCTCCCGCCCGTCACCAACTTTTATTTCCCAGCGTCTGCCGGGTTCCCAGGGTCCGGAGCGCACGCGCGGCACTCTGGGAGTTGTAGTTCCTGGAGGTCGCTGGCTGGGAGCAGAACAATGGGAGGAGTCTGAGGCGAGGACCACACCTCCTGGAGGCAGGCCCCACTGACTTTCCGGGTCCTGGTCGGAAGGGGGCGGGGGGGTGTCCGGGACCCCCGTAGTCTGCGCTCGCGCGCCCTAGCGCCCGGCGGAAGGAGCGGGGGCGTCTGGACTACATTTCCCAGAAGCAGACCCTCCCGCGCCCCGACCCTCCGGGCGTGCAACGCCGGGCTCAGTGCTCCGCCAGGTGCGGCTTTGAGAGCGACGGCCGGGCCGGCCCCGGACTCCCGCTCCCGTGGTGCCTCGCGCGCGGCCGGCCCAGCCCCCGGCTCCCGCCGGCCCCGCGGCGGCGCTGGTTGTTGTCGAGAGCCGCCGAGCGGCCGGCGAGCCGCCCCGCTTCGCCCCTCCTCCCCTCCCCTCCCCCCGGCCCTGCGCACGGGCCGCCCCTCCCCCCGCCTCCCCGCTCCTCTCACGGTGCCAAGATGGCGGCGGCGGCGGGCGGCGGCAGTTGCCCCGGGCCTGGCTCCGCGCGGGGCCGCTTCCCGGGCCGGCCGCGGGGTTCGGGCGGGGGCGGGGGCCGCGGCGGACGCGGCAGCGGGGCCGAAAGAGTGCGGGTAACCCTGCGGCGCGGTGGCGCGGTGGGGCCCGGCGGGGCCGAACCCGGAGAGGACACGGCCCTACTCCGCTTGCTGGGATTCCGTCGGGGCCTGCGCCGGCTCCGCCGCCTGTGGGCCGGCCCGCGGGTTCATCGAGGCCGGGGCCGGGGCCGGGGCCGTGGCTGGGGCTCGGGCCGAGGCTGCGTGCCGGAGGAGGAAAGCAGTGACGGGGACACGGACGAGGAGGTGAGGCGGGGGTCGGCGCGTCCCCCGGCGGCGGGCGGGGCGGAGCCCGAAGGGGGCTTGCGGGGCTCCGGCTTACCTCGAAGGGTGGCGTGGGAAAGTGGGGGGGGTATCGTCAGGGCCCGGACTCCCCCCCCTTCTCCTGCGGAAAGGAGCCCCAGGTTAGCGGCGTGGAAGGAGACGACCAGCTGCACCGATCTCTGGCCTCTGAGAGTAGACGGAGGAGCCCCTTGGCTGCAGCCGGGCAGGCATACTCCCGGGCAAGCATGCCCCAAAGTGTCCCGAGCTGATCCTTCTCAGAAGCAAAGCCAGGGCGGGAGAGGTGGGGCTGGGGCGGCCATAGGGGACTGTGTGCAAGACCCGCACTGGTTGACAGCAAGTAGCAGTAGCTGCAGAAGCAGCGGCTGCAGCGTGGCTTTTTCACCTGTAGGCTGCTCCCTGCTTGGGCCTCATAACCTCTGACACATCCCCCCCAGTGCCTCAGCTCCTCCTCGGCTCTATGGTAGAGTGGTTAGAGGGGCTTCCTGGGGTAATCGGGGCTAAAGGGACACCACCCAAGGCAGAGTCTTGAGACTGGCCGAAGGGATCTGAGTTCAGATCAGGAGATAATTCCTTGGCCATTACGGAAAGGCAAGGAGGTGTGGATGTGTTGCTTAGATATGATGACCTGAAGGTTCAGAGTGGACTCCATCTGATAAACCATTGATTTCCCCCCCCACACTCACATCCATACACATGCATACATACTCACTCCGGTGTCCTCATGCCCATTTTCCTGCAGGAAACAATGTCTGAAAGGGTGCGATTGGACATCCCACTTTTTGAGTTGGGCTCTGCCCTCTTTGTAGGGAGACCCCACTGTGTGTTTCTTCTGGCCTGGGAGCCACTGCTTAGTAGCCTGGCACTTAGAGATAGGACTTCAGAAAATGCTTTGTGCCACTGTCCCTGGGGAGAAGGCCCTAGTTTTTTTGTTTTGTTTTAAATCTCCCTTCAAACCTTTCAGTGAGCTTAATTCTCTTATAAACGAGCAGGGGTGCATTTAAGGGGAAGCTGGGGGATAGTTCCTCCAGACCAGAGTCCCCCACTGGAACCAAGGCCTGGGCACTGACTGCTGTTTCTCCCCCTCCACCCTTGGTCCCCTAAATCAGGAGTTTCAGGGTTTTCATTCAGATGAAGATGTGGCCCCCAGTTCCCTGCGCTCTGCGCTCCGATCCCAGCGAGGTGAGTGATGGGGGAAACTGGACCTCTAGCTTTACAGGGATGTTGTTCTTGCCCTTTGTGTCAGCGCTCCCCTGTTCGCCTGGTCCCCCCCAGTTACTGAGCGTGCCTTGTGTTCAAAGTCCAGGCAAGGCTGGGTGGTGGGGAAAAAAAAACAGAGACCCCCTTCTTGGCTCTGCAGGGCCAGCTTGACCCATCTCCCCACACCTATTCTCCTTTTTAGGTCGAGCCCCCCGAGGTCGGGGCCGAAAGCATAAGACGACCCCCCTTCCTCCTCCTCGCCTAGCAGATGTGACTCCTATCCCCCCAAAGACCCCTGCTCGGAAACGGGGTGAGGAGGGCACAGAACGGATGGTGCAGGCACTGACTGAACTTCTCCGGCGGGCCCAGGCACCCCCAGTCCCCCGGAACCGGGCATGTGAACCCTCAACCCCCCGTCGGTCTCGGGGACGACCCCCAGGACGGCCAGCAGGCCCCTGCCGGAAGAAGCAGCAAGCAGTAGTGGTAGCAGAAGCGGCTGTGACAATCCCTAAGCCCGAGCCCCCACCTCCTATGGTTCCAGTAAAACACCGAACTGGCAGCTGGAAGTGCAAGGAGGGACCTGGTCCAGGACCTGGCACTCCCAGGCATGGAGGACAGCCTGGGAGAGGAGGCCGTGGAGGCAGGGGCAGAGGCCGAGGCGGGCTTCCCCTCATGATCAAGTTTGTTTCAAAGGCCAAAAAGGTGAAGATGGGACAGTTGTCCTTGGGATTCGAATCAGGTCAGGGTCAAGGTCAACATGGGGAAAGCTGGCAGGATACACCCCAGAGAAGAGTTAAATCTGGACAGGAAGGGGGTCCTTGTTGGAAGAAGCAGGAGCAGAACCTGGAGGAGGAAGGAGAGGAGAAGAAAAAAGAAGCAGAGGGAGACAAAGAGCTGGCAGAGGAGAAGGAAGAGACAGCTATGGTAGAGGAAGAGGTGATGCTGGCCAAGGAAAAGGAAGAGGCGAAGCCATTGTCACCGCCCCTGACTCCTCCAGCTCCTGTACCTCCTCCTCCTCCTCCTCCTCCTCCTCCTCCTCCTCCT